TCTGTATCTACAGAGTAAACTATTGGTATTTAAAAATTGAATTACTGCTTTTATAGTCTATGAGGAATGTAAGTGTATTAGTAACTGATACTAATTGACTATATCTTGAACTGATACATATTGAAATGTCTTGAATATCATCATGTGCATACAGATGACAGATTCCTACTTTGGACTTAAATGTAAAAAGTAGTGTGCAGCTGTATCATGTAGGTGATGAAATCACCAGATCTGCAAGCAGTATTTCACCTTAACATTTGTGCAGACTTTTTCATATTTTTGGGAAATTCTTACTAAAATTTAACAGTCATTCATAGGTAAATTCCTTCTAATTCTCACCAATGGTCTTCATTTTGTAGTATAAGTTCATTTTCTCCTCAGAAGATTTAGAAGTGTTGCCAGACATCCTCTGTGTAGCATTCGTATTTACTGATTCATTCATCTAACATTTTTCAAGTGCTTATAGTGTGCTGAATGTTATTCTGACCCATCAGGTTTATTATGCACTTGACCCTTCAACATTGCAAGAGTTGAGGATGCAGATTCCCTGCACAGTTGAAAATTTGCATTTAACTTGTTTAACTTTTGACTCCCCCAGAACTTAACTGCTGATAGCCTACTGTTGATTGGAAGATAGCATAAATAATTATCACACATTTGTATGTTATGTGTATTATATACTGTATTCTTACAATAATATAAGCTAGAGAAAAGAAAATAGTTATTAAGAAAATCATAAGAGAAAATATATTGCTATTCATTAAGTGGAGGGAAATCATCATAAAGATTGAGTAGGCTGAGGAAGATGTAGAGGAGAGGCCTTGCTGTGTCAAGTGGCAGAGGTAGAAGAAAATTATGTAGAAGTGGACTCACACCATTCCAACCTGTGCTGTTCAAGGGTCAGTGGTACATAATTTTGTGATGAGATAGTACAGAATCTGTAGGTTTGTTTTTGTTTTATATCACATTAATTCTCCGTGGTTTAAAGGGGCAGAATGAGAAGCTAAACCATCCTGCTTTGAGGATGGAAGCTGATACTCCTTTATTTGTGGATCTACATAGCTGTGAAAGGGTCAGGGATATCCCTGGCATTATTCTGATGACTCTACGTTAAGGAATCCAGACTCCTTTTCTACAGTGTGGGATGCATCCTATGTCTGTTTTGATAGCTGTGGTGCAGAGCTTTGATCAGAATAAGTCTGAATTTTTGAGGCAGTTGGAACATTTTGCTTTCTAAGTGCAGCTTCCTCATAAGTAAAACTTCATGAAAGGAGAAAAGCCAGGGTCAAGATCTCCTTGTTGCTAGTCTCCCCATAGTGGGTATCTGGGAGCAGGTTCTAAAGTCAAAGTACTCTAGTTAGTGTACAACTGTACATAGTTAGGCAGGCATACTCACACACAGAAAGAAAGAAGAAAAGACATTTTGGTCATTAGGCAAAAGTCCTTATTTCATCTGAATCATAAAGACCCTTTATCTTGAAGTTTACTGAACCAGAGTGTTCATCCAAAAGTCAGCCAAAGAACTCAAAAGGCTTTATCATAATTACCTTACATTAATTTTTGCCAAGAGAGGATTTTTACCTGAGTTGCCAGGATATAGCCTAGGTTTTCGAATTTACTTTTTATCTAAAAGTTGAGGGAAAATTGTGCTTATCTAAAATGTAAATGCTTTTATATAATTTTAATTCTATAATAGTATAATTTCTTGAAACTAAGTATACCAGAATGTCAGTTTTTAGTAACTGATAACTAACATAATCTCTAAGGTCCTTTAAGGACTTCCAAAACTTCTCCTTTTAAAATATTGGTTTTCTCTATTTCTTATCTTGACACCACTAGATTCACTCCCGCCACAATTCCTCAGTGTCCCTGCTAAGAATCACCAGTAATAGTCTGTGATATTAGAGATGCTTCCGATGGTGGAGTTACTGCAGATTCAGAAGCTAGCTGCTGCACCGCTAATGCATTCTGAACCTGTGCCTGGTCCAAAAAAAGGTTTCCAGCCCAGGACACAGGGTCATATGATGAAATGAACTCTTGTAATACAATTCCCTTTCCTTCCTCTGAGGAACACACTGTATTTCATGTATTTGTGAAATATATTTATGTGTTTGTTTTATCCTTCACTGTCTTTAGCCATGAAATATAAACCATTTCCAGTCTAAGCAAATTTTCATTGTAGCCTATGAATTGTAATTAAAATATTTTTAATGTTGGAAAATAATTTTTTTTACATAAATGTTACATTATGAGTACTAAGGTCTTATCCTGCTTTCTAACACTTCAGTTTATTCATGTAGGCTGGAGTATATTTACTATTCATTAATATGTTTATAAAGGATGAACAAGTATCTTATAAAATGTTTTGAAGTGGTTAAAACAAAATCCCCTGTAACCTTATAAAGAATTAGCATCATCTTCATCTTATCATCACCTTCCCCTTAAAGATGATAGTGTAATCATTTATTCAGGACCATCTAGAAGCAACTGGCAGAGCTAGTGCTGGAACTCAGAGTTCTAGTGCCACCTTTGCTCAGTGACACCAACTTTAGGTCAGGTGGCTAAGTCTTTGGAGAATAGAAATAGGATTCAAGCTGGCTCGGTGGCTCAGCCTGTCATCCCGCGCCTTTGGGAGGCTGAGGTGAGTGGATTGCCTGAGCCCGCGGGCTCAAGACCCACCTGGGCAGCGAGACCTCATCTCTACAATAAATCAAAAAATCAGCCGGGCGTGGTAACGCATGCCTGTAATTCCGGCTACTTGGAAGGCTGAGGCGGAAGGATCACCGGAGCCCAGCAGGTTGAGGCTGCAGTGGCCAGGAGCAGCCACTGCACTCCAGTCTAGGTGACAGAGTGAGACTCCAACTCAAAAAAAAAAAGAAAGAAAAAAGAAATAGAATTCAGTTGACCTTGGCATTTTGGCGAAACAGCTGATTAAATGTAGAATTGCTTGTAAAGAGATAATCATGGAGTAGTTAAACACAGGAAAAGAAAATTTCTAGCAGTTTTTGTCCTCTAAACTATACATATTTTGAACCATGGAATGTATTTTGGAAGGAGTAGAACAGTCACTTAATAGTACACAGAAACTCACAGCTTTGCCTGTCTTAGGTATTGATTTTTGGGGAGGGAATAGTTATCACAAAAATAGTGGTTTGATACAATGCTCCTAGTAAGGACTTTATGTACTTCATTCTCAGGATCTTAACAGACTTGACTCATACTCCAATTTAGAGATGCAGTATCGTTTACTATGACTTTAATATTTCCTGCATGGTACCAACATGTTCCACAGAGCCATGGCCTACAGTAAATCTGCCTGGTTAGGACAGGGTGACAGAACCATCAAGAGTAGACCCAACTGCACCTGGATAAGTTCTAGCAGTGGAGCTGGATCCTTGTGGCTTCTAAATCATGTAGATTAACTTTAGGATATTCACTTTACTGAGTACAAAGATGGCCAAGAAAGATTACTCCCTACTTTGGGTTCACCAGATGTATGAGGAGGCTACCTTCTTCCCAGTCCACTTCACTTTCCCTGCCAACTTTCTCACTCCCTACCTTTGGTTTTTTTCTGACAGGTATATTTTACTATTGTTATACTTTCCTACTAATCTCACAAGGTAGGTAAATAGAAAGCTGAGGGTGAAGGTAGTTCAAACAGGTGCAGACAATTTTAAATTTATGTTTCTGTGACTAATACCGGAGGAAATATTTTTATGCTGAATGAAATTTCTTCTTATGCTTACATGTTTGAATGCAAAGTTTTTTAATTAATAAAAAATTTACACTTAATGAGTTAAAAGTTTGATTTTAAGAAAAAAATTGTCCATAAATATATAGGTGTATAATTACAATTTTATTTTTTTGAACAGAAGTGTAGTTTTACACAAAATATAAAAGGGGAAGGTAATGATCACTTTACAAAAGGAGTATTTATTTACCAAAACATTTATGGAAATACTCTGTTAAAAAAGCAAGCTCCCCTAAGGCAGTTGAAGTATTTGTTTTTACAGATGTAAGTCCTATAATAATACATATAATACAAATAGCCATTTCAGGTATATTAGTTTGAATATGAGTGTTTTAATCAAAGTAAATACCAAAAATAAAAAGCAATAATTTGCAAAATAAAAATTGCAAACAGGAAGCCAGGTGCAGTGACTCATGCCTGTAATCCCGGCACTTTGGGAGGCTGAGGTAGGAGGATTGCTTGAACCCAGGAATTTAAGACCAGCCTAGGCAGCATACTAAAACTGCATTTCCTAAAAAAATTAGCCGGGCCTGGTATCACGTGTTTCTCAGTTACTTGGGAGGCTTAGGCAGGAAGATCACTTGAACTCAGGAGTAATTATGCCACTGCACTCAGTCTGGGCAACAGAGTGAAATGCCACTGCAAAAAAACAAAAAAATACAAGCTGACCTGTTACTTATTAGTGTAACTCTAAGGAATGTTACAAAAGAAGTTGTAATAAGAACTTATCAAGCACAATTTTTTTACAGTATTGACTGTATTATATAGTTATTTCAAATCTAATTTGATAACAAACCCATTGTAACATCTAAAATGATAATTTCTTTTTTCTGAGTTGTGGTCTCCCTCTATCGCCCACTCCATCACCCAAGCTGGAGTGTAGTGGCATGCTCATGGCCACCCCAATCTTGACCTGTTGGGCTCCAGTGATCCTTCTGCCTCAGCCTTCCAAGTAGCTAGAACTACAGGCTTGTGCCACCACTCCTGGCTAATTTTTTGGTTTAGTGTAACGATGAGGTCTTGCCACGTTGCCCAGGCTATTTTTGGCTAAGGCAGTCCTCTTACCTTGGCCTCACAGAGTGCTGGGATTATAGGCTTGAGCCACCGCTTCTAGTGATAATTTTTTTAATTGGAGAAAAAACATTCAAATTTATCAGCATGTACACAGGGAGAACCACAGAGTGATTGCACCTAAAATGATAATCTTATTCGAGATTTTTGTGTGTGTGTGTGTGTTTTTAATTTTCAGGTTTTAATTACAACAAGGACGGCTGCTGATAATTTTAGCACTCAATATGTTTTAGATGGCAGTGGCCACATACTTTCTCAAAAACCCTCACATCTTGGTCAAGGTAAGAGAGTAGCTTTGGAACGTTCTTTACCTTTTCTGTCTTAATTGTTTGGTTTAAAGAACAGTTACTCCTCTATTTTAAATATATTACTTTGGGTTTGGTCCTAATAAAGGCTGGTTAACTTTCAGGTGAACATTTAGCCTTTACTCTAGCTACCAATCTTTAAACTATTTAGAGTTGTTCTTAAAAAGAACTACGAGAGATACTCTGAACCATTCCATGGACTAGTTACTCTTCTGTAAAAACTGTAAGAGCATTTATTTTACTAGGGTGGATCACCAGTGTCTTCTTTATATATGAAGGATAATATTTTATTGAAATACTTGGAAGGCCCTGACTTCACTACAATGCAATATATTTGTGTAGCAAAATTGCACTTGTATTCCATGAATATATACAAATAAAATTAAACTAAAATAAAGAAACTTTCAGAAAAAAAGAGAAGTACCTAAAACATCATTAGTTTGGTAATAATGGTAATAAACCATGCCATCAAAATATTATGATTAAATAAATAATTTAAAATATATGTGTTTATTTGTGGAAAGCTTTAAACATATGCACAAGAAGATAGTGTATTCATCACTGTTTCAGTAGTTATCAACTCATTGCTGAAGTTTTTTCATCTAATACCCTTACCTGCTTCTTCCCTTTCTGTATTATTTTGAAGCAGATAAACATATTATTTATTGTTGCTAGTTTTAATTTAGTTATTTAGTGTTTTATAGACTTTTATGTAATTTTATTACATTTTAATTGATATATTATTAAGTTCCTCTAAAAAACTGCTAAGGGAAAAAAGATTAGGCTTGAGCATCACATATCTCTTTTAATCTTTTGCATACTACTAATTTCTGATAATGAGATGGTTATGAGACTATTAAAAGTATGACCTCTTTAGAATCAGGTTCCAAAGAATTATTAGATATGAAAAGGGACATGTGAGTTTTTGTTGTTGTTATTGTTTATCCTTTCCTGCCTCCAATTTGTATTGTAAATTCATATTTAATTTTGTGGTTCCTCATAATTTATCAATGTACATACTGTATATTTTCTGTGGTTTCTTCCTTCCAGTTTTATTGTTAAATTGTTGGATTTATTTTTTCTTTCTTTCTTTTTATTTTTTGAATTGAAATTTCACTCTGCCGCCCAGCCTGGAGTACAGTGGCACACTTATGGTCACCACAACCTCGACCTGCTGGGTTCAGGAGATCCTTCTGTTTCATCCTTCCAAGTAGCTGGAACTACTGGTGTGTGTCACCATGCCTAGCTAATATTTTTATTTATATAGAGACAAGGTCTTGCCATGTTGCCCAGGATGGTCTCAAACCCCTGGGCTCAGGCAATCCTCCCACCTCTGCCCCAAAATGCTGGGATTAAAGGCATGAGCCGCTGCATCTAACTAGATTTATTTTTTTCAAATGACTTCTGTCTTTACTGATACTGAAATTTATTTTCTTGGGTCTTAACTTTGATACCAAATTTTCTCACTCTCTTATTTTATAAATCCTTAACTGAGTTTCTGATTACTTTTGCCCCTTAGGAATTAATGTTTTTGGATCCACATAGCAGAAAGAGTTAATAGAAACTTCTTAGAAAACACACTATTTTTTCTTATTTATTCATTTAATGAAAATGAGCTTAAGTCTAACAGCTATTTAATTTGATGTATAATAATGAAAATTGTATATTTTTTATTAAAAAATAAATTTAAATTCTTTCACTGTATATTGAAGATTAGTATAAAAAGAAGGCTTTTTTAAAAAAAAAATATGGTTTATCTCCAAAAATACTCTGACTGCAGGTCTTAGGAGTTCAAATTAGGAAACCATTAGGAGTATTTGAGTGGCTATCCAATAGAGTACTTTGAAGTAATCTTGTTGCCTTATAAAACTTAAAAAGTATTTATTTTTATCTTAGTAATAACCAGTCTAATCTAGATGGCCAATGGCTCTACATCAGTCATACTTCTCATGCTTCTTCTCATGCTTTTCTTTATTCATCTCCATGGGAACTATGAAATAACAATCCTTAGATATGGAATCCATCTGATCTTTGCCCTTTTGCTGGTTGATTTTTCTTTTCCTGCTGACCTCAGTCTTCTACCTTTAGTAAGTGAGATGAGGTATGCATATTAAGGAATTTCTGTAGACAATAAGTGAACCTTATTTTCCTTAACAATATTTCTTTTATCTTAATAAACACTTAGGAATAAATTCTTTGAAGGTCAGTAGTTACAAAACTAGTAATTACCTTTTATAACTCACTTTTTTTACCTAATTACTGTTGACTGGTTAGGAAAACAACAAAAAATCAAATTCCTAGTTTTAAATTGCTCTAGATGGACATATTATAGAAATCTACAAACATTTTCAAAAGCCTTTTACATTTATATTGCCTTAGTGCTGATAGTTTTTGAGTGATTGAATCACAGACTCACATTTCACCAGCTGTCATTCAGCTTCCATTTAAATATTTTCTGTGTAAGCTAAAACTGCAGTTCAACCATCCTAATTTATACCTGTACATTTAAGGTTCTTGGATTAATTTCTGCTGTGGTGTGGACATCTTGTTTATTATTTACTTTTCATATCATTTGGTAGGATGATACCTGTAGAGAATGTAATTGTAGGTGCAGGAACACCTTACAACAAAATTTTATTTAGGCAAAGGAAAATTTATTTCCCTTTTAAAAAATATACTTTAAAATAGTTTACTAGAAATTTCACTTCTGGTTTTTCTAGGTATAGGTATTTGTTTTATGAATTAATTGAGCCATGTAAAATGATTTCTGTGACAAACTTTTTGTCATTTTAAATTGCCCTTTTCACTTCCAGTTTAAAACATTTTGTTGAAATTAAGAAGTAATGTGGAGGTAAGTCTCCAGATTTTAAATCTTTTACTAAGAACACAGACCAAATTATTTGCTTTGGTCGGATCTTTTTCTGTCATTACTTGTATTCCCTTTACCCTAGATAATCAGTATTAAGCTTTCTAAATTGATTTATGCTCCTGAACAAATTCTTTTAACACCTCCAAGTACTTCTGCCTTTGGAATTTCTCAGATATCAAAAGTAGTATATTTGAAGTGCTCTGATCAAGGTATTTTCTTTCCCTACCTTGTTATTAGAATAGAGCATCATGTTCTTTGTAAATTCCTGATGTGTGTGATTGTGCACATATTAAGAAATTTTTTCATCTTACTTTAAGAATGGAACTTTTACTCACTAAATGGTTTAAGAAAACTTTCTGATATATTCAAGCAACTATACCATTACTTTAGAAATATTTATAACTACCTTCGTAAATAGCATAACATGGGATCATGTAAAAATATAACAGGGAGCATATTACAAGACTGCTCTTTAATTCTGTTGTTTGTAGAATGTGCTAAAGTTAGAGAGCTGAGCAGTTCTCTAGTAAAATATGACAGTATAATGGGGGCCTCCTCCCTATTGGCCAATATTCTTTGGTACTTTTATTTTTAAGGAAAAAAAACAATTAAAATTTATTTATAAAAATAAATTCCAAAATTTTATTTGTAATCAGAAAAGTCTTTTCCACCAGTAAGTTTTATTTAAACTTAGAATTCTCGTCTTATTAGTAATTTTCAATTTACTTTGAGAGAGTATATTTAGGCACTGAAGCAATAATTTATGTACAGATTAGGTATAGTGTGGTCTTTGATGCATAGCATATTCAGAAATCAACAGATATCTTTTTTTACTTTCATATATACATCTATATTTTGCCTTCTTGATTTCTGCCTTCCTATCTGACTGTAGTTTACCATAGATGCCATTATATTTGTCTAGTCTAGAAACTCACAGACTAGAGAGGAACACAGATGAGTAAATGATGACAATGAAATGAAGCCACCAACTGCCTAGAGAGAGGTTAGGCAAGTTTTTCAGAAAAGGTTACATTTGCATTTGAAGATGGTAGGAGTTTGAAGAGGATAGGTAAGAAGGCGTGTTGGGGGGGTGGGTATAAGTATTCAGCAAGAGAAGAATAATGGATATAGAAGATTTCAAGGTTTCACAGTGCTCTCTGTGTAGCAATGAGAGGAAGAAAACATAATTTAAAAAATGAGTACTTTTCTATAAACTCATTGAAGAACTATGTCACAGAGAAATTTAAATTGACTAAGTTCAAGAGGAAGACTACTTTCCTAGAAAAGAAGTGACTAGTGATCATTTGCACCCCTGGGAGCATTAATTGAGTCTGAGGCATAGGAGAACAAAGGAGCAACCCTGCTGTAGAAAAGGGATCTTTTATGGCACTAGGAGAAACCAGCTAAGCTTTTAATATTCACACATGATCTTGTATGACAGATTGGAATATGAGATCCTCAAACAGAACTAGTCTGTCCCACACATTGAATCTCATCAGGACTTTTGGTGAGTAAGCAATGAAAAAGAAAGTTGGGACTTAGCTAGAGAAAGAAAGATCTTAAAGCCTTGCTAGAGGAAGGGGCTTGATTCCATCTTCTGACGTTAGAAACCAAGGGTAAACTGGAACTAAATAAAGGTGCAACTCAGTTGCGTATCAAATAAACTAATTAGGTAGAAGAGATCTGTTTTACACTCTACCTGCGTGGCAGGAAACAAAGCACTTTCCCTGGCAGAAAATACTATCTTCTTCAGTATCTATTGTTTTATACACAGTGTCTGGCAAAAATCAAAATTTTGAGATGCACGAGGAAAGGAAAATGAATTCTGTAATCAAGAGGAAAAAAGATATAAGCAAGCTCACAGATAACAGAATAATCTTTATTTATTTGAGTTAACAAATATGTATTTATTTGACTTAATAAAAAACTTTAAAAACAATGTTATATTAAAAAATTCAGAAGATGGGTAAAATCAATAAGAAAGTGGAGAATTTTATCAGAGAAATAAAAACTAAAGATCCAAATGAAAGTTCTAGAACTAAAAAAGTAGTATGTTGAAGAATTAATTGTATATGAGCTTAACAACAGAATGAGCATAGAAAAAAAGATTTGAAAACTTGGAGTCAGGTCAACAGAAATGATATAAACTGAAGCATAGAAAATAAAATGTAAAAAGAGAACAGAGCATCAGAGATCTTCAGGATAACATTTAACAGTGTACATACATGTGACTAGAATCTCAGGAAGAGAGGCAAGAGAGAGAATAGGTCAGAACAAAATCTGAAAAAAAAATATCAGAATTTTCACAATTTTTCAAAAGATATAAGGACCCAGGACCAAGGCAGTGAACCCCAAGTGGAACAAATACAAACAGAACCACAATGAAGCACATCATAATAAAATCATTAAAAACCAGAGAAAATATTAAAGCTGCCAGAGGAGAAAATATATTGAATTCAAGGGAACAACAAAAAGAATGGCAGTTGTGGCAGTTGACTTATCATCAGAAATGTAGAAGGAAATAGAATGGCCTCTTAAGTATTTTTTTTTAATAGTCAACCTGAAATTCTATAACCAGCAAAAATGTCCTTTTAAAAAAATGAGGACAAAAGTGAAGTAGCTTTCATTCATATAAAACTGAGAAACTTTTCCACCAGCTGACATGCATGATAAGAAATACTAAAAGGAAGATTTTTAAGCTGAAGGGAAATGATTCTAGATGGGAACTTGAATCTGTAAGAAGGAAAGAAAAGCACTGGAAAATATTGGGAAAAAAATGAAAGATTAAATTATTTAAAAATTAATTTTACAAAAACAAAAACCAATTCTTTGTGAAGTGTGTAACGTATAAGTAAAATGCATGACAAAAATATTACAAAATGCAGGAGAATAAAGGAAATCACATTACTGTAAAATTGTTACATTGTGAAGTATAATTCATTTCATGGTCATCAAGGTAGACTAATAATTTGAGAATGTACATAATAATATCTAGAGTAACCACTAAAAATAATGCAAAGGAATATAGCTAAAAAGCCAATAAAGTCGAAACAATAGAATACCAAGAGTGACATAGCAGAGTTCAGTGAGAAGAAATTTGTTCTTTCTTTCTAAAAGTTTGTAAATTTTTCTCTGTCCTTAAAATTTGAAAATTTAGTATTTCTAGTAGAATGTGGTTTTTCTTTTCTTTTTTAAACCAAAGACAGCACACTGAATCATCATCATCATCTTCTTCTTCCCCTTCTTCCTTCCCCTTCTTCCCCTCTTCCCCCTGCTTTCTTCCCCTCATCCTTTGTCCCCTTCTTCCCCTTCTTTCCATCTTCCTCCCCCCCACCTTCTTCCCCCTCACCTTCTTTCCCTCCTTCTCCCTCCCCTCCTTACCTCTCCCTACCTCTCCTTCTTCCCCCTCCTTTCCCTTTTTCTTTCTCTTCTTCCCCTCCTTCTTCCCCTCTCCTCCTTCTTCTTCCTCTTCCCCCTTCTTCTTTCTCTTCCCCTTCTCCCTCCCTTTTCTTCCTCTTTTCCCCTCCCTCATTCTTTTCCTTTTTACCCACTCTTCTTCCTCTTCCCCCTTCCTTCTCCTCCTCCTCCTCCTCCTCCCCTCTCCCTTCTCCTCCTTCCTCTTCCTTCTTTCTTTTTTTTATATTCCTCCTTGTAATGAAGTAAGTTCTTGAAATCTGACCTCAAGCCTTTAACTCAAGAAAATTGATTTTTGTTGTTTCATTATATCTTCATTTGTTTCTTTTTCTCCTCTTGGAAGTGATTTTATGCTAGTCTTATATTCCCCTTATAATTGTCATTTCTTTGTGTTTTTATCTTTTACTATAAACAGTATGACAAAAATTGACATACTGCAGCAACTTTTAGCCTTTTACCTCTGATTCACAGCAATAAATACATTTTACATAGCAACCCAGTTCACACATATCTAATCAATAAAAAAAATTACAAAACAATATGTACCTTAACTATGTGTGATGCACTGTTTTCTAGTTTAGTCTGTTCTTTTTTTCTATTTTATTTAAAAAGAAAAAAGATGCTAGTTGCTATACATTAAATCAGTGGTTCTCAATTGTGGGCAACTATGCCCCCCCAGGTACATTTGGTGATATCTGGTGACACTTTATTGTCATAACTGGGGTGGGTACTACTGACATATAGTGGGTAAGAGGCCAGAGATGCTGCTAAACATTCTACAATATACAGGGTAGTCCTCACAACAAATTATCTGACCAAATGTCATCAACAGTGCCAGTGTTGAGAAAACGTATACTAAATTGGTTTTACTACTCAATACAGTGGTCCTCAACTCTAGTTTTACATTCATAAGAATCACAAAGGGAGATTGATTTAGGAAGTCAGTGATTAGCTACCTGGTGGTTTTAAAAGTTCTTTGATACTTCGAATGTGTGACCTTGAGCTGGGCACAGTGGCTCATGCCCGTAATCCTAGCACTTTGGGAGGCCAAGACAGGTGGATTGCTTGAGCCCAGGGGTTTGAGACCAGCCTAGGCAACATAAAGAGACCTCGTCTCTACAAAAAATTAAAGAAAAGAAAAAAAAACCTGGTGTGATGGCATGCACCTATAGTCCTGGCTAGACAGGAGATTGAGGCAGAAGGAACATCTGAGTACAGTGGGGATCAAAGCTGCCATGAGCTGTGATTGTGATGCTGCCCTCCAGTCTGGGTAACAGAGTGAGACTCTGTGGCCATGGCAAGCATTCAGTCCTTCTTCTATGTGGTGGTGGTTGGTGTTCTTTATTTAAGTAAAAACCATTTATTATCCAGATAGTTAAGCAGTATGATTTCTATATCTTTACTCAACTTTTTATTTAAATTAATATGTAAAAAAGTCCTTTTGTCAGATTATTCTGTTTTTGAATGTTTGTTGTTAATTAGGTAAATTAAACCACGTTACTAGATTTTATTTCAGGTAAGAATTTTTAGTGGAATTTTTAAGGTTATCACACATGCAGTGTCACCTTATACCACCTAACTATCATATTTAAAGTGCAGTCTAAGCATCATCCCCAGGTAGTTTGAGCACCAGCAGATTTCTTATGATATTGCATTCTAGTGAGCCTGTGTTTCTCTTCAGTGGTAGAAATAAAATTATGCTTATTTTGACCACATAGAAGAGATCATACTTCACAGGTCAGTCTTGTTACAAATAGAAGAGTCTAGCAGGGAACAAGAATAGTTTGCAAAGTTGAGCCGCCTTTGGGTTCCTAGAGTTTGCAGAGGATTGACCTTCAGTGATAGACTAATTATATATGGATTTGAAGATTAGTGAATTTCTCTCCAAATCTAAATATGCTTTCCTCTTACCTGCCAACAGGTACAACTGTAACTGTTTTAAGATTATTTAAGAATCTACCTGTAAGAAAGCAATTTTATTCAACTGCTAAAAAATGTAAAGATGAAATAAAAAAGGTTCAAGATCTCCTCATGAGCTATGGTATTTTGAAACCTGACTTAAGGATTGCTTTTGTTCATAATAAGGTAAGCATTATTGCATTTTTATAAGTTTTTTTCCTACATGCCTCTACAATAAATCAAAAAATTAGCCAGGCATGGTGTATAAGGTTTTTTTTTAATACGGCAGAATAAAAAAAAAAAACAAAACAGTGTATGTTATCTAAATTAGATGTAGGCTGTGGGCTGAATGTTTGTCTCCCACCAAATCTATTTGTTGAAAATGAAAACCTCACTGCCAATGTAATGTTATTAGGACAAGGGGCCTTTGGGAGGTGGTTAGATCATGAGAGCTCCACCGTCATGAATGAGATTCATGCTCTTATAAAGAAAGAGTTTCCTTCTCTCTTCCACTATATGAGGAGGCCACCACATGGTAAAGAGGTGCCATCTATGAACCTGAAAGTGGGACCTTACCAGATATTAAGTTAGAAGGCATCTTGATCTTGGACTTCTTGGCTTCCCAAATTGTTCTTCCCAATTGAGAAATACACTAATTTTGTTTATAAGCTACCTTATTTATGGTATTTTGCTATAATAGAGTATCTTTAATTTGTTACCTAATGTCTATATACAATCTAATTGCACTGTTCATTTCTTAATCGCTGAGATCAGGGATTTCCCCCAGCAGACTTCTGGAAATGGCTTCAGTGTTTCCTTTTATCAGATGCTATGATAGATTCTGAAAATAGAAAGATGAGTAAGACCGTTTTTTTTTTTAAGAATTCACAATTTAATTACATTTTTCACTTTCTAAACTATTTCTTCTTTGGAAGACTTTTTGTTTTTATGAGTTTGTGGGGCACAGGCATAATTTCGTTACATGAATATATTGCTTAGTGGTGAAGTTAGGGCTTTTAGTGTATCTATCACAAGAATAACATCCTTTGTACCTTTTAAGTAATTTTTCATTATCCATTCTTCTCCCTTCCACTGACTCTTTTGAGTGTCCTTTATCTTTCCACATTCTATGCTCATGTGTACACATCATTTAGTTTCCACTTATAAGTGAAAAAGTGTAATATTTGACTTTCAGTGTCTGAGTTATTTCACTTAAGATAATGGCCTCTAGTTCCATCCATGATACTGCAAAAGATGTGATTTTATTTTATTTTTTATGACTGAATAGTATTCCACTGTTATATATACCACATTTTCTTTATCTAGTTATCCCTTAGTGGACACTTAGGTTGGTTCTATGTTTTTGCTGTTGTGAATAGTGCTGCAATAAACATATGAATGTAGGTGTCCTTTTTTGTGTGAGAAAGTAGGATTTATTGATAGGACAGAAAAGCTCCCACAGTGGGAGGGGATCTGATGGGGTTGCCCAGGTGTCTTTTATATATATGATTTGTTTTTCTCTGGGGAGATCCCAGTAGAGGGATTGCTGGGTCAAATGGTAGTTCTCTTTTTAGTTCTTTGAGAAGTATCCATACTGTTTTCCATAGAGGTTGTACTAATTTACATTCCCACCAACATTGTATAAGTATTCCCTTTTCTCCATGGCCTCACTAACACCTGTTTTTTGTGTCTTTTTAGTAATGGCTATTCTGACTGGTATAAGATAATAACTCATTGTGGTTTTAATTTGCATTTCTCTGATGATTATTGAGTTTGAACATTTTTTCATATGCTTTTTGGCCATTTGTATATCTTCTTTTGAAAAATGTATATTCATATCCTTTGCCTAGTTTTTAATGGGATTATTTGAATTTTTTTGTTGTTTTTTGTTTTTAGTTTGAGTCCCTCATAAATTCTGGATATTATTCCCCTTTCAGATGCATTGTTTGCAAACATTTTCTCCCATTCTGCAGGCTGTCTGTTCACTCTGTTGATTATTTCTTCTGCTGTGCATAAGATTTTAAATTTAATTAAGGAAAACTCTACTTTATTTCTTTGCATTTTTTCAAAGCAGGACTGATAAGGGAAGGAATTCATCTTGTTGCTTGATGAATCTTAGAAGAAAGGTTGGTTCACATATTTTATGAATATTCTGTTTTTTGATGAAATTTCACATGGGCATCTTGAAATATGCAATGGATGGAGGGCAGAGCTACATAGACATGGTGAAACTTGATAGGAAGTAGGGAATTAACATTTATTGAGGGCCTACATGATGCCAAGACCTGTGCTGTGCATCAGTCTCCTGTAATCCTCACAGCAACAGCCAAGTGAAATACACCTTATATCAACTTTGCAGTTGTTCTGTGAATGGAACTTGGAGAGGATTAATTCTTTGCCCATTGTTACATAGCCAGTAAATTGTTGAGATGAGTTTTGAAATTTAGCAGGGCTGTGGAGTGCTTTATACTATCCTGTATTCTCTTCCTACTTTAATACTGCTTTACATTTATATAGTTCTTTCTCAGGTTTCAGGGTACTTACAATAACTTTGTGAGGTAGACAGCTTTACCTCTATTTGTGTGGTGAACTTGAACCTCAGAGCAATTCAAGGAATTGTTTTCGATTTTATAGTAATAGTCCTCAGATTAGGACCTTCTTTTTTTTGATCCAGTTTTTTTCCTACTCTGTCTTTTTATTGTCAAGAAGATTGCTTATTAAATCAAGCCATGGTGGAATATTTTTTTATCAAAATCTTTAATTGTTTAAAAAAACTAGAAAGAAAAAAATTAAGACCAGTCAGCCACCTGTTCCTGCTGGCCTAGAGCTCAACCAAATGATACCTTGAGATTACTTCCAGCTCTACCATGCTATGTTTCCTTGCGATGTTGATGGATGGAGGCTCAACCTACTCATACCTCTTGATACAGCAGACATTTAATAATAAAATTTTGATTTGCCCCCAAGTTAAGAAAAGTCCAAGAACTGAAAAAACATAATAACTAAGAAGGAAAAACATATGAAAAAGGAAATATATAAAGAGAAATATGAATTATGCATTTGTAAAAGAAAAGCAAGTACTACTAAAGAGAATAAGAAAATAGATCAAAACAAGATTATTGCTTTATGTCATGAAAATGAGTATATCAGAAATATTTGAGATGGTGTGAGAATTCTTGTTATTCATTTAAAGTCAAATATATATCTTCTAGTTTTTTTGATAAATTTATAACATTTTCCCAACCAATGTAAAATGATCAAAGTAGGCATTTTCTTTTGAGAATGGAAAGCAGTGTTTTTAAATGTACTAAGTTTTATTATTTTTAGAAGACACTGTGTTAGAATTTATAGTGAGCAAACATAATTCCCTCTATGGTCATCAGTAAATCCCAGAGAGATTGGTGAGAGCGTTAATGTCATGAAAGTAATAAAAGATTATCAAAAATCTTTCAGTAAGGTTAAGTATTAGCAATTATTAAACAGAAATTATAGACCCTACTGTCATCCTTTTTCTTTTAGACATGGCTACTTTCATCATTCTTTATGTGCTTTTGTATGGAATTTTTTTGTCTTTGCTTAAAATTTAAATGACAATATTGGTGTCTTATCTTTTTTCTCCCATTAGAAACAATCATATTGCATATAATATGAGAAGTACTATTGCTATTTTGATAACTTGGATTAGATAGTGTTCCTTCTTTTTATGAAGGTTTAACCTGCCAAGACATTCTTTGAATACTGATAATGTTGATGTTCTTGCCAGTATGGTTATGTTAGAAAGAGGTATTTTTCTTCTTTCATCACCATGTTCCTTGAAAGCATATTGAATAATGAGACAGCCAAAGGGAAATAATTTACAAGTGGATTCAGTGAGTTTATTTAAAGTAGCTATTATGTGGAGAATTGCTAGAGCCATTCCTTAGATGGGCACTCCAAATTTCAGCTTTAGTTGTAATAACTGAATATCTATGAGGTCCTTTTATTTATGTTTTTATTTATATAGTTATTTCCCAGAATTGTTTTTCTCAGTGTTTTTCTCTTTGTGGTGGTGGCTAAAGATTTGGTTTATAAACTGAAGGTAAATAAATGACACCTTATAATCTATATCCCCTTTATTCATGATACTCTCTTTGTTCACTGTATCCTTACTCAAGTCATTTTGAATGTCCCAGAATTGTTTCAGCTGTGCTATGAGGAATCAAGGTCTTTTGCCACAGTTGGGCCAGTGTTAAAGGGTCACCTCTCCTCCCCTAATCCCAGCCAAGGTTGTGGAGGCAGTGTGATCAAAGAGAGATTCCTATTTGGGACTGTGGCTCAAATGTCCCTTCATTATGAAGAAATTATTCTAGTGCCAATGTGGAAAGTTTGGGTGGACTTCATTTTATTTTATTTTAATTAATGAAGGTGGACATCTTTTCAGATGTATTTTAAGATTAGCTTGGGGCTTAAATCAATCATTTTGTTTGGTTTTGGTTTTTATTCTACCTACAAATTAATGATAATGAACTTATTAAATGGTTCTCAGGTTTTCTTCTTTGTTGTATTAATTTTTTTTTACTTTTCACCTAAATTATGTGAAATATTGGAAAGATGAAACACACTTTAAGTTCTCATGTTTTCTGGTATACAACTCACTGAAGTCTTCCATTGTCCTCCAGCAAGACTTAGTTATTCAGGAATAACTCAACTGTTCCCATTACATTTTTCACATATTTTTATATATCGTTTTGCTTCATTGGCAGTGATTTGCATTCTGGCTTCCCTCTGTAACAGCCTCTTCTGAGAAGGGTGGGCTACATCTAACTCAACCTGTGCTCCTCTTACAACTCAGTGAGGTACAAGGTACATGAATTGGGTAGTGTTAAAGTCAAAATATGTAAATGTAAGAAGCACCAGTTTAAAACACTCTGGCTTCTTTCAAACCTTTTTTTGTAATATTTATTTATATAATTAATCCATTTCAGTTCCCCAGTGACCTTTTAGATTTTTACTGATTTGTATTCATATATACTATCCTAGTATATTTACTTTCCTGGAAGCAAAGTTAGTGGTATGTCTTCATTAGAGCTAATTTGGAACTATATAAAGACTTTCTGGGGCTGGAACAGTGGAGAGGAGAATGCCTAACAGGGACAATTTCTAAGAGCTATCAATTTAATATATTTTTGTTTCAGCTAACTTAGTCA